TTACTTCTCTGTGTGTGCACTGAGAGAGTGATCTGACACTTCTTTCTTTTCTAATAAAGACATTATTTCTTTTGGATTAGGGGCCCTGGCTTTATGGCCTCATTTACCTTAATTACTTACATAAAGGTCCTCTCTCCACACATACTCACAGTGGGGATTAAGATGTTAAAATACGAGTGTGAGGGGAACATTTCAGTCTACGACAGTGGTGTATGATAAAACCAGGAGCCCATGGAAATCGTATAAAATATTTTGTTAGAAAATTAGACAGGGCACAGGGTTTATCCAAGGTCAAGCACCTCGTTGGTTAAAGATCAAATACCTTTTTAGTGTATACATTTCTGCATTGATTCAGATAATTAATCAATTCAGACCTAAGGCAGTGTCGAATCTCCTGTTTATTAATGGTTGTCTTAATATATGTACAGAGGTGTACATGAGGGAACTGGGTAGATACAAAAAAGCATGTACATATACTCAGAAATGGTGATTATAGTTCTTAAGCCAGAAGTCTGGACATTTTAAAAATAAGGACTGACAGTATACCATTCTTTAGTTCCTTTTTTTAAAAAGCTAGAATTTAAAAATAATCATGGTGTTAGTGATTTAAATGAAATATAATCTGGCAACAGAATCAAAGACTCTCCCTTGGTACCTGGAATCTCAAGCTTTCTCCTGCCACCATCATTTCTTTTGTGAGAGCAGAGACTACCAGTTCTCATAGCTTCAGATTCAATGTTTACATGCAACAAGGAAAAAAACCTTACCGGGAAGTGATGAAGACAACTGAATGCATGAATTTGTAATTATATTGCAACTGCATCAAAGCCAGACCTCAAACCCTTGTGTAGCCTTTCCAAAACCTAATGCAGTGCATGTACTCAAAACGGCTACCAAAATTGTATTGCTGGTTATTCTTACAGGTCAGAAACATTATATAAGTGGTTATTATTAACCATAAATTTATTTATGTATTTTTTATTTCAAACATGATTGTCCTTAATCTTATCTAATACAGATCTCTTCAATAGGTTTATATATTATGGCAATTTCAAATTCCACTTTAGGATGCAAATATTTTAAATTATATTTAATGAACATGAATTCTGAAACTCTTGAGAAAGACCACAGTGTATCTCTTTATCTTGTATGTAAAATTATATCCTACTTGAATAATCTGTTACTTCATGCCAGTTCACATATAAAGGCAGTCTAAGAAAAGACTATGAGTTGAAAGGCAAAACAAGAGTCTGATAAAATACATGACTGGGGGTTTCCCTGGTGGCTCCTGCTAATGCAGGAGACACAGATTCGATCCCTGACTGGGGAAGATCCCACATGCTATGGAGCGAATAAGTCTGTTTGCCCTAGTGCTCCAGAGCCCGGGAGCCTCAGCCATGAGCCCAAATAGTGTCTGAGATCCCGAGCTCCCCAACAAGAGAAGCCTCCTCGACAAGAAGCCCAGGCACCAGAACTAGAGAGTGTCCCCCACTCATCGCAACGCGAGAAAGACAGCACAAAAAAGTGAAGACCCAGCACAGTCAAAAATGAATAAATTTTTTAAAAAGATTTTTTTTTTAAGAAAAATGCTTGATTAAAGTGTATAAGCACATGCTTGGATTTCCTGTGGGATTTTATCTGATGAATAATTTAAATTATGCTTAAATTCTTTAAAATAATGAAAACCAAACATGAGTTAACACTGATAATGAAGCTATTTTTTCCTTAAGAAAGTAACAAATTATATTTTCCATATGAACTCAGTCCTACAGGATGAGCTTCATTACAAATATATACCTTATATGATAAAATACTATAGAAAAACCCAAATGAATTTTTTGGCCAACTCATTATCAGAAGAATCAAAAACTATATCAAGGATTTTACTATATCTACATGTATTTTAAAGCCTGGATAGAATAGATAAAACAATGTTATCAACAACCATATCACACATTAAACCATGCCTTCTACAACAGTTCTAAATCATATTAAGTCTGTGGGAAATCCTTAAAATGTATACCCAGTTACCAAGAAGATTCAGGAAAGAAGTAAAAGGAAGGAAGGAAGGGATAGACAGAGGAAAAAGGAAAGAAACTCAAGATAAAAACACAGATCTATATTTAAAATTTAATAATGCATCTCATTTACATATTCAACCTGCAACTAATAATAGATTTTTAGAAACAGAATACATTCAGAATAAAATGCATGTAACTCCATGGCTGATTCATGTCAATGCATGACAAAACCCACTACAATATTGTAAAGTAATTAGCCTCCAACTAATAAAAATAAATGGAAAAACAAAGTCTAAAGGCAACCATTAAGAGAAAGACTTGGTATCCTACATAAAATTTAACCAAATCAGAACAGCAGCAGATAAACACATACTCAAAGTGTACAAATCATTGCTATTCTTCTAAATAAAAAGTTCCTGCAAATCAACAAACATGACTATTTCAGTAAATGTATAAAGATCAAAAAACATGGATAACAAATCATAAAATAGAAAACAAAACTTTCTGTAAAAATTATAAAAATGATATGGATTTAATAAGGATGCAAGTTAGAACTAAGAGACAATTTTTTTTCCATTTATTTTTATTAGTTGGAGGCTAATTACTTTACAACATTGCAGTGGTTTTTGTCACACATTGAAATGAATTAGCCATGGATTTACATGTATTCCCCATCCGGTCCCCGCTCCCACCTCCCTCTCCACCCGATCCCTCTGGGTCTTCCCAGTGCACCAGGCCCGAGCACTTGTCTCATGCATCCAACCTGGGTTGGTGATCTGTTTCACCCTAGATAATATACATGTTTCGATGCTGTTCTCTTGAAACATCCCACCCTCGATTGTTAGAGAATGCTCTTTCATGAGGGGCAAACTTTGGTACTGCTGGTGAGAATATAAATTTTCCTTGACACTTTTCCTCAAGATATAAACAAATATGTAACAAAACTATAAAAACGATAAATCAGCTTAGTGCTTGCTTTTTGAAAAAAGAAAGTTCCAAAACAAAATAATGCTCAATAATCAAGGACTAGAGAACATACGTACATGCATAGGAATACACAGGGGAAGATGGTACAAAAGTCAAAATGTAAAAAAAAAAAAAAAAGGTCAAAATGTGTGCCTATATATATATGTCCATACATGTATTTCTTGGCTAGTTTATCTTCAGAAGTCAGTATTTATAGATGTTTGATTTAAATATCAATGATGCATTGCATGTCTAAATTAATAAATTAATTTGATTAATTAGACTTCATGTATTTGCACTTAGAGGTTTAGCTCAGGTCGCCACAAATTCTAGCTCATTCTATAACCACGTTTCTCTTATAATCAGTAATATACAAGGTAATTTCTATGGTAACTGATCTGTAATACCAGTACTTTGATGTTACACATGCAAAAGTTGTTTCACAAAAAACTTCCATATAAAATAAGAGTAAATTAAATTGTTGCTCTTTTAAAGTTACCTGATATTTTACTTAGAATAATGCTATTTCTAAACCCAAATAATTAGAGTCCTTTGCTTATTCTTAGTTTAATGTTTATGGTTTGATCAAAGAACAAAGAGAACATTCCCTCATCCATCATATACATTATTACATTGTGTACAGATGAAAGCATTTTTTGAACAAACTTTAAAGCCAAATGCAAACTTTAAAGTAAAATGTATAGCATGGTAATATTACAATATAGCTTAGCAGATATAATCAGTAGGTTATACCTTTTCATTTCTACTGAATAAGTTTTTAAAAGTCTATGATTTTTCCTAGACTCTTTAAATGGTAAAAAGATTCCAGAGGAAAAAAATTCAAAGACTGATAAACAAGTTTTTCTTGTTGCTACATGAGAAAGCAATTGAAATTCAAATATTAAACTACTTTCTCCAAACTACAAGATTCAAATGAAGCTGGCTAAAAGAAGCCCGGTAGATAATACAACATTTTGTCTGACTGAGTAGCTACCACATATGAGAATTATTTATTTGCAAGGAGACACAATGACTTTGCCTATCTCAATTTAATGAACTTATCTGTGCCTCTTACATTTATTTAGATTCTTGCTATGCAAGCTTTCGTTAGAAGTATTTGATTTTAATGGTTCATTTTCAATCTAACATTTACAGTATTTCCATATTAACTAAGCAATTTTACCAATACATCTGAGTTTAATGTCAGAAACCCTGTCATCGCAAATGACATTTAACTTTTCTGCTCAAGTACCTACTTTTTTCTACAGTCTCTCTTATTTATTTCTCCCAGATATTTTGGAACCTTTCATTTGATATTTGCAAATTTTGTTCAATAATAATTTTTGATAGGTTTTAGTTATATAGCTGAAATAATTAGACTAAGCAGTGATGTATCTGGATTTTAATCAATGAGCAAGGATTCAAAAACTGCATTCGAGCGCCTCTCCCCGGCCCCCGGGCCCCCCGGCGACTTTCCAAAGACCTTCCCCTACCCTTTGCTCCTGGCCCGGCCCCTGGCAGAGCCCCTACAACCTGGACCCCCTCTGCACCGGCTCCCCACTGCCGACGGCTGGCCCCGGTAGTAGGCCCGGGAATGGCCCCGGTTCTGACCCTCACGTCAGGCCAGGCGAGGGCACGTGGGGTCCCAACCTCCCTCCCTGCGTCCTTGGAGAAGACGCAGCAGTTACCACTGTCTCTGCGATGGGGGCGTGGAGAGGGGAGGCCGGGTTCGGATCCATGGTTGGGGGTTCTTTCCCCTTTCCTGTGTGTGTGTGTGTCCATCAATAAAACACACATGGTATCCATGGGAAAAAAAAAAAAAACAAAAAAGAAAAACTGCATTCAACCCCTGTGTAACTAATTAACATAGACACAAGGACACATGTGGAGTATTGGGACTTGGCAATTTCACAGTAATAAACACAGAAAGCATTTCAATGATAAGCATTTATAGCATCATGGTGATATATTTTGAAGGGTACAAGGTAAACTCATTTCAAATCATTCACTTACCCAAGACTGTGAGCTCTGCAGAAGCACTAATATTCTCATTTTTATATGTGACAACACAGGTGTAAGTTCCACTGTCATCATCTGTCACATTGGAGATAAGCAAGTTACTTCCACCCAATAAAGAATACTTTTTGGACCTGTAAGACAGAAGGCATATGACATTAGAGAGTAGATTAACTTATGTTTATATAAGACAAGGTATCTAAGACAAGGTATCTAAAGGTTTAAATGAACTCCATAAAAGCTCAAATTATAAAATCCAGGGCTCTGTTTCCTGGGAGCTTGATAATAGTGCATCTATTGATCAAAAATTCCTTCAAGGTAAACCACTCCCATTGGAAGACTGTAATCAAAGAAATGAATCAGATTAAACTTGAAATTGGGGCTTCCCTCATTGCTCAGTTGGTAAAGAATCCACCTGCAATGCAGGAGACCCTGGTTTGATTCCTGGGTTGGGAGGATCCGCTGGAAAAGGGATAGGCTATCCACTCCAGTATTCTTGGGCTTTCCTGTGGCTCAGCTGGTAAAGAATCTGCCTGCAAAGTGGGAGACCTAGGTTCGATCCCTGGGTTGGGAAGATCCCTGGAGAAGAAAAAGGTTACCCACTCCAGTATTCTGGCCTGGAGAATTCCATGGACTCTACAGTCCATGGGTTCACAGAGAGTTGGACACGACTGAGCAACTTTCACTCACCCACTCAAACTTGAAATTAATGTTAGTCCTGAAAAGAAACAATACATAATTTGGCTTGATTCTCTCATTTTTGGGTTTGAGAACTGCAGGTCCAGAGAAGTGATTCCTCCCAGTGGGAGTCCATGTCCTATGTCCTGACAACCAATTTAATAATCTTTGTACAAAGTTACATGTCATATTGCACTGTGCATGCCTGATCATATTTGAAGAACACATCTTCACATGCTGAAGCTGCAACCAGATTTATTGCATGCATTCATATTCTCAGAAGTATTGTGAAACCATACAATGTAGTGTTGTTATATAAATAAATACTTCAGGCAGATGAAACTTACAGATTAATTTATTGCCTATGAACCTATTTTGCCATGAAATATGTGTTCAAAAGTACCACATCAAATCTCAAAATCAATAAAACTAATTTCTAAAATGAAAACCAATCCACTTTAATCAAAATGTTTCCAACTGTGTTTCATTCTATTAAGAGTTTTCTTTCTAACTAAGCCTTAATACTAACATCTGGTAACTTGAATCCAGCCAAGTTTTGTTTTATCTTGAATATCTGTTACAGCTGTGACTCTCTATACTACTACTTTAGATTCAGATCCTCCAAAGTACCTTCTCTGAAGGCTCTGTGGCGAGGACCATCTCAAGGGCAACCCTGACTTTCTAAGTTTCATTTTATAATTTGTCTCATAGATTTTGACTCTACCCAGGTGGTGGTGCAATAGTGAAGAATCCGCCTCTCGATGCAGGAAAGGTGGGGTTCAATCCCTGGATTGGGAAGATCCTCTGGAGGAGGAATTGGTGACCCATTCCAGCATTCTTGTTGGAAAATCCCATGGACAGAGGAGCCTGGCAGGCTACAGTCCATGAGGTCACAAAGAGTAGAATGTGACTTAGCCGCTAAACAACAAAAAATGTCTTTCATGTTCTGTCTAATGCCAAGGATGTGAAAAGACTATTCAATTGTCACCCAAACCCCTAGTATTAATAGATTCTTCTATCAAATTAGAGGCAGTTAAACACGAGCACATACTTTATGAAAGTCCTGCATTTATCATACCTGAGTTGGATGAGTTCCTCTCCTCTTAGCCAGGTAAAACTCGGGGGAGGGTAGCCGGAAACACAGCACTCCAGGATGGCATCCTTTCCTTCAATGGCGACTACATTTGATGGTCTTTGCAGAAAATACAGCTGCCTGTGCAGTCCCGGATCTATGGGAGAAAACACAAGATCGCATCTGTTATGATAAATACTGAAAAGAAAAATGATATAGCTGGAACCATTTTTTTTTTTTTTTACAAAATGCTGTGATGGAGAGGAAGGAACGAATGGAAAGATGTCAATGAAACTTATAAAATAGACTCCTAGAAGTTTTTTTTCCATATCTAGTTTCTAAGATTATGATATTCAAATATTCTTGGCTGCTGATAACACCATGGTGAAGGCAAAGGGAAAAAGCTTGAGACTACAAGTCACTCATGCGGGCTACAGGTCCTGTTGACTTATTGTCATTAAAGAACAAGACAGTATCAGTAACTTTCCTAAACATTATCACCCGAAGCTCTTTGCATCAGTAACTTTCCTAAACATTATCACCTGAAGCTCTTTGCTGTTTTCAGTTTGCCTGCCACGAATATCTATTCCAGGCTTCCCTGGTAGCTCAGTGGTAAAGAATCCACCTGTCAATGCAGGAGACATGGGTTTGATCCCTGGGTTGGTAAGATCTGCTAAAGAGGGAAATGGCAACCCACTCCAGTATTATTGCCTAGAAAACTCCATAGACAGAAAGAGCTTGGAGGGTTACAGTCCACAGGGCCGCAAAAGAGTCAGATACAACTTAGTGACTAAATAACAACACAATATCTATTCCACTTCCATCTGCTTTGTTTATTGCTTCTGTGGCTTGGGATGTAAGATTAAAAATAATATGCTACAATTGTGTTAAACAAGTACTGAAGAAGAGACTATAGAAGTTACTGAGAAGTATTTGTTGTCTTCAACACCAAAGTTACACTAAAGTTTGTTTGTTTGTGGTTATAACAATAAGTGTAGCTGTTTCTAACCCTTCTGCTTATTTTAAACAACTTTCCAAAGAATGGGTTTGTCCCTAGAGCTGAGATTCTGGACAAATGAGAAACATACTCCTTTATCACCCATCCTCCTGTTGTTCTGTCTATACAACATTATTCATTGCCACCAGCAGGTAACTGAGATAGTGTCTTTTTTATTGAGGTATCCTTGTTTTACAAGGTTATGTCTGTTCCTGCTGTCTGAAGTGAACTGGCTGTATGTATACATACATCTCCTCCCTCATTAACCCCTCCCCCATCGCACCCTTTTAAGACCCCAGGGCACAGAGCTGAGCCCCCTTCTCCTGTGACAGCAGGTTCCCACTGGCTATTTTGCACATTGCAGTGCACACATGTCAATTCCAACCTCCCAGCTCATCCCCCACCCCGTGGTCGCCTGTCCATTCTCTACCCCTGCCCTGCAAATAGGTTCATCTGCATGACTTCTCTAGATTCCACATATATGGGTTAATATACAATATTTGTTTTTCTCTTTCAGGCTTATATCACTCTGTGTGAAAGACTCTAGGTCAACTCACATTTCCACAAATGTCTCAACATTCCTTTTTATGACTGAGCAATATTCCAATGGATATGTGCACCCTGTTTTCAACCTAAAGACTCATTCTATTCAGACCCATTTGATCCAAAAATTGCCAAGATGATATACCAAGTGTAATAATATATATATAAAGTCCTAAGCACAAGGTTCAAGACTGTCATGAAAGATTTCTGTGAGAGTTAAGAGCTCCTCTTTCACCTACCAAATGAATTCCGCTCCTAACACCTGGGATATACCAACAGCATTATTACCAGAAGGGAGACTTGGAGGAAGTCTTCCCAGCCATGTAATATCCTCTATCTGACCTACTGAGTACATTTCTATTTCCTTAAGATGAAAAGCTGTATTTCCAGGTCCTCATTAAAACCTACATTTCCCTATGAAGGCTTAACTGTGGCTGTTCACAAATTAATGAATTAAATAGAATTAGCATATAATCTTTCATTTTGCCAACCCAAAGAAAAATGTTGAAGCAAAGAAAATGAGGCAATGACATCTTCAAAACCAGGGTTGGAGTGACAAGGAAAAGTCAAAGGATGTTAGATTTTAATAGGTTGTACTGGGGGCCTGGATTCCCAGGTGGCTAGGTGGTAGAGAATCCTCTTGCCAATGCAGGAGTGACAAGAGACTCGGGTTCGATCCCTGAGTTGAGAAGATCCCCTGGAGGAGGAAATGGCAACCCACTCGAGTATTCTTGCCAGGAAAATCCCACGGACGGAGGAGCCGGTGGGCAACAGTTCGTGGGGTTGCAAAGAGCCACAGCTGAGCGTGCACACACACACGGGGGGGCCCTCGGTGATCAGGAAGAAGTGAGGTGGGAAGAGGTCTGCAACACACGTCATCACCGCTGTTAATTTCCCTTGATTGAACCCAACTCCACACGAGCTGATCGCCGGTGAATAAAAGAACACCAACTCACTTGTTAATAGCTGGGAGAGTAATTGTCATCTAAAATATTCTTTGCATGAAGAAAGATAAATTCACACTTTCTCAGTCTTCTCACATCTGCTTCTGCTTGATACAGCAACAAAAATAAATACTCTTCACAATGAAAATATTGAAAGAATTTTCAAAATGTATTAATCTTTATTAAACCAATATTCTAGATAAAATGTCACAATTGTTTTTCAGAATTGCTGGTGGTTTGTTTAATAATCCTGCTTGAAAGTGAATTTTCAAATCAAATGAAAATGTTTTGAAGGTAAATGTTGCTTAAAAAATAAAATCCCTGATGTGGAGAAAAGGGAACTCTCCTACATTGTTGGCGAGAATGTAAATTGGTATACCCACTATGGAAAACAGTAGGAAGGTTTCTGAAAAAACGAAAAACAGACTTGTTATATGATCCAGCAATCCCACTCCTGGGCCTATATCCAGACAAAACTATAATTCAAAAAGATACATGCACTCCTATGTTCATAGCAGCACTATTCACAGTGGTCAAGGCATAGAAACAAACTAAATGTCCAACAAGAGATGAATGGAAGAAGATGTGGTACAAATAGAAAATGGTAGGAATCCTCCTCAGCCACAAAAAGGAGATTTTTGACTTTATCTTAAAATATTGGCATCACTGGGCTCAGTGCCACAAAATCACCATCTGCTATTTTTAGGTGGAGCACATATATTCTAGGCTTCCCTGGTGGCTCAGCGGTAAAAATCCACTTGCAATGCAGAAGACACAGGTTCGATCCCTAGGTTGAGAAGATCTCCTGGAGTAGGAAATGGTAGCCCACTTCTGTATGCTTGCCTGGGAAATGCCGTGGACAGAGGAGCCGGGTGGGCTACAGTCCATGGGGTCACAAGAGAGTCGGGCACGACTTAGCAACGAAAAAACAACAAAAATGTTTTAAATTACTCCAGTCTCCTGCGTTGTATGTGTCACCCTTATATGTGACAATGTGTCACATATGACAATCTCATGCATGTCATATGTGTTACCCTTCATACATATGGAAATGTCAGTCTTTGGCAGGGAAATTTGGTTTCATTTTCCCAAAGATATTTCCCTGTAATTACTGAATCTGATAAATTCTAAGATTATGGAAGTACTCCTCAAAGCTAAAATAAAAATGGTCTTAAATAGTAAATAGTTCATACATCTCACAACATTGTGATAGATTAAACATGATCATGAACTGTTCAAACTCCTCTGCCCCTGGTCCAGAGTTGAGGGTACACTTTGCTATGGTTTAAATCTGGCCTGACCCCATATCTTGCTTTGACTAATTGACTGTGTTGGGAATTAAACTGATGAGTTCTGGACACCAGGGGTCAGAGGGCCTTACAAGTTTCTGCCATGGCGCTTTCTGAACAACCATGCTGGCCTTACCGACTGGAGGATGAGAAGGCACGCAGAAGAAAACCGAGTTTTCCAGCCAAGCACCAGCACCAGCTAATAGACATGTGAGTGAGGCCATCTTAAACCTTCCACCTTGGCCAAAGGCGTCTGAGTGAATCAGAAATGAGCAGAGCAACAGCTGAGAAAAACCCCAGGATTCTACGACCTAATGATGGAAATCGCTACATTTTGGAGTGGTCTGTTATACAGCAGCAGATAACTGACACACACACATGAAAACAAATCAAAAACTCAGCAACTTGAAATATCAAGTAATCTTTTGGGTGGTTACTGTTTTTATTTTGACTTTTGCTTTCTGGTTTTTATTTGTTTGTTTTCAGTATTGGGTGATTCTGGCTATTTAAAGAGACATGGTTAACTTGATGTATCCCTTATTTTTCTCCTTTAAATTATTATTTTTTTTAGAACATCAAGAAAACGTATTTAAGTTTTAAAGTGGGAAGGAAGGAGATACAGTTGCCAAGGTTATCTCTGTGTGATAAAACTGTGGGTGGTTATTCTTTCCATCTTTGGATTTTTCTGTGAGTTCTAAAACTTTTTTTATTAAGAACAATTTTTTTTTTTAAGAGTAAGAAGTTATTTGAAACTCTGGTGTTGCAAAGTGGTTGAAAATTACATGAGGAACAAAGAAATTATAAAAGCTAATGACTAAAGCACAAGGCAAATACTTAGGGGAAAATTCTCCTTCCAGGCTCAATAATGATATAGATGAGAAAGACCTGAGCAGAGTGAACTTAAAATTATAGGTCATGACTTTTGTTGACTAAATTGATTTTAATTGAGCTATGATGGAATTAGTAATTATTCATAAAATTATTTTTGCTCTTGCTCTATGGGTATAGATTATTCAGACCCAGATGGAGTTATTTAGCTAATGGAATATGAAAAAAATCAAGCAAATTAAAAAACATGATTTCACAAGGAAATGGCATATAACATCAGTCTGGAACATTCTATTTCATAAATTGGTGATATGTACACAAATGATCATTCTGTTTTTATTCTTCAAACTGACATATGTTTCACATGAGTTCATGTACGTGTAATATGTTTTAAATTTTAAACTGAGAGGGAAATGCAAGGTTGAATTCGAAAAAACATATCTCGCAATAGCTTTCAAATCAAATCAGAAAAAAATACTGATTTTTCTTCTAATGTAAATTTTTATATTAAAAAATTCAAAAGCAGACCTTTTCCATATAATACTCATAGAAGTGA